GCTCGGCCGCTGACTCTGCGCCGGCCTCGGACAACACCCCGCCGGGCGCTGGGCCTCGGTCTTCCAGTCCGCAGTTGGGGGCCGGGCTGGCCCATCCCAGAGCCCCCGTGGAGGCCTGACCCCCAGTCCTCCTGAGAGTCAGAAGGCAGGGAACGGGGCGACTCTGGAGGTCAGGACGGCTTAGGCCTGGGGCCACATACAACTAGGGGTCCGGTCCCCACAAACCCTCCTTCCTTGACTCTGTCTCCAGGGGCAGCCTTTTGTGAAGGAGGGGCAGAGTTCTGGGCTCAGGGCCCCTGGCCCAGTGGATGCTAATCTTCCCCTCCCCAGCCCTGGGCTGCTCCGAGGGACAGTCCTGGAGACTGTCACAGTGACCCAGGAACCTCCGAGGATGGTCATGGGGTTGAAGATGGTCTGCTTCAGATGATGGTATTCACACATCCCCATTCCCCTTATCCCCCACCCCCTCACCTGTCCCCAGAGTCCTCCTTTGGCAACCACCTGCCTGTTTTAGCCCAGAATTGCACCCCAGTGCCAGCCCAGGATTGAACTGCAATCACGCAGCCTTGCACAGAGTAGGTCCTTAATAGACATCTATGGAATAAATGAAGGACCATCTGGAGGACCCCTGCCCCCACCAGGAACTCTTTAGCTTGTTCCCAACAAATCCCCTTGAAGTGCTGCATGAATTCCTTGCCCACATGTGACTTTTCAGTGGCCTCTCAGATGCCACTCAGGCTAACGCCTGTCATCCCAGCACTTTGGGAGACTGAGGTGGGAGGATAGCTTGAGCCCAGGAGTTCAAGATCAGCCTGGGCAACACAGTGAGGCCTCATCTCTACAAAAAAAAAGTTAAAAAAATTAGCCGGGCATGGTGGCACATGCCTGTAGTCCCAGCTACTTGGAAGGCTAAGGTGGAAGGATCACCTGAACCCAGGAGTTGGAAGCCGCAGTGAGCTGTGAGCATGCCTCTGCACTCCATTCTGGATGACAGAGTGAGACTCCCAATTCAAAAAAAAAGGGGGAACCCCTTGGGCCCCCTCTCACTGTGGGAGCTTTTCTGTCTTCTCAATAAATCCTGCTTTCTATAAAAAAAAAAATTATTACACACACGCAAAGATGCTCCCATTCTAAGATCTCAAAGCAAATCGAATAGTGGAACTTCCGGCACCAGGTCAGGAAGGAGAAATAGAGCCTAAAAGTCCATCTTCTTTTCTTGACCTCCAAGGAGATCACCTTCTTGGTCTCAGAGAGCTGACCGTGCCCCTCCCCAACAAGACTGGTTGCTCACCTGGCTCCAAGGGCACCCTCTCCGCACTACTGGTGTTGAGCTGGCCGGGTGGGGCTGGAGACGGACGACCTGCAATGAACCAGCAGGGCCTGGTGGGTGAGTGAGCTCAGGCACGGAGGCCGCAGAGGTCCCTGGTGGGCAGGGGGTACTTTCTGGGGCCTGCCGTGGCTATATGAGGTGTGTTTGCCTCCCTTCAGGGTAGGGAGGACCCTCGGATTTTGGAGTTTCAATATCCTCCACATCATCTATTCATTGCATACCTATCTTCAGAAATCAGAGTGGAATAGGAAGGACAGTGGACTTTGGGGCCAGACCAACTTACTGGCTGTGTGACCATGGACAGATGACTTAACTCCTCTTTGCTAGTCTCAATTTGGTGACAATAACACTTGGGATGGGTGCAGCGGCTCACGTTGTAATTCCAGCATCTTGGAAGGCTGAGGCAGGAGGATTGCTTCAGCCCAGAAGTTTGAGACCAGCCTGGACAATGAAATTTTGTCTCTATGAAAAAAAAATCTAAAAATCAGCCGAGCGTGATGGCAAGCACCTGTAGTCCCAACTATTCGAGAGGCTGAAGAGGAGGGATTGCTTGAACCCAGGAGGTCGAGGCTGTAGGAAGCCATGATGGGTGCCACTGCACTCCAGCCTGGGCAACAGAGTGAGACCCTGACTCAAAAAAAAAAAGAGAGAGAGAGAGAGAGAGAAAGAGAGAGAAAGACCTCTTAGGAAAGTTTTGTGAGGCTGAAATGAGGCAATCTGTGAAATACTTGACATACAAGAGAAGCTCAAAAATGGGAGCGATTTAGGAAAAGCATTTTTGTCTGCAGAATTTGAGAATTTCGTGTCAGACTGTGGGATAATTGGCACATGCGGGGCTGGGGGCCGCTGGCCTGCACAGTGCTCTCAGAGGCTCACCAAGGGCCTGTTTACAACAGGCCCTTGCACGTATCATTCCTTTTGCTTTCAGTACCATGGGGAGGTGGTTATGAACGTCCCCATTCCACAGATGAGGCAAGGGAAGCCTAAATACTACAAATCGATTATCTGGGCCAGACAGCGTCCACTGTCCTCCAGAGCCACTCTCCTCTCAGGCCCAGGAGGTTGAGCTGTTGGGATTCATCAGCCTCTTCCTGGGCCTTTTGGCCTCTGTTGGGTTCAGCCGATGGGAGCCCCAGCAGAGATAGGAGGGAGGGAGGAGTGTGAAGGTGTGGTGCATATTCTGTCTCCTTTCCAGGGGGTCCTCTGGGCAAGCTGTGTCCCTCCTCTGAAGGTCATTGCTCCCTCAAGGTAGTTACCGCTCCCTGACTAGCATCTCTTGCTGGGTCTCACTGACCACTCCCTCGTCTTGTCCCCCTGGGTCAAGGATGGTAACAGCTCAGCTGCTTTGAGCTTCTGGTTACCGCATCACCTGGTTGCTTTGTTTGTTTTGAGTGGGTTCTCACTCTGTCACCCACGCTGGAGTGCAGTGGCATGATCATAGCTCATCATAGCTTCAGCCTCTGGGGTTCAAGCAGTCCTCCTGCCTCAGCCTCCTGAGTAGCTGGGACTACAAGTGCATGTCACCATGTCCGACTAATTAGTATTGTTTTTATTGTTATTTTTATTCTTGTAGAGAGGAGGTCTCACCATGTTGCCCAGGCTGGTCTCGAACTCCTGGCCTCAAGTGATCCTCTGGCCTCGGCCTCCCAAAGTGCTGAGATTACAGGCATGAGCCTTGGTGCCCAGCCTGCGTTATTCTTTGTAAATAGTCCTTTTGTACCGAAGCCCCCTGAAGGCTTTCCTGTTTTGAGTGTGCCACCTGTCTCCTGCTGGGACCCTGAGTGACATGTAGCCCATAGGCCGCCCAGCTAGCGAGCGGCAGGACCAAGGTGCAAACTGTCCCCAAGGAACAGCTCCACTCTGGGCTGCAGTGTTCTGGTTTGCAGCTCAGGGTGGGCTCTGTGACAGGGACAGTTGTGCTCCCAGATGAACTCCAGTCCCTCTTGTGCTTAGGTTGGGGCCTGCTGACGTCAGGACAGAAGACGTGCGTGTGTCCACCCAGGGCCAAGGCAGGCAAGAGGCAGCAAGCCTCTTCCATCTGTCTCTTCCCTGTTGTAAGAGGTTAGAGGCGGGGTTCCAGAAGCAACTACAAGATGGAGGGGGATGTTGACCCAGCTTGGATTTTGTGTAAGAAGTAAGCTATACCCAGCTGCAGCAGCTCACATCTGTAGCCCCAGCACTTTGGAAAGCCGAGGCAGGAGACTCACGAGAAGCCAGGAGATCAAGACCAATCTGGGCAACATAGTGAGACCCCCCCATCTCTACACTCCCCCCCAAAAAATAGCTGGGCATGGTGGCCCATGCCCATAGTCCTGGTTATTTGGGAGGTGGAAGCAGGAGGACCACTTGAGCCCAGGACATTGAGGCTGCAGTGAACTATGATTGTGCCACTGCACTCCAGCTTGAGCAATACAGCAAGACGTTGTCACTTAAAAAAGGAAGTACTGTAATCTCAGCACTTTGGGAGGCCAAAGTGAGAGGATTGTCCAAGTCCACGGGTTCAAGACCAGCCTGGGCAACATGGCGAGACCTCATCTCTACAATAAACCAAAAAAATTACATGGGTGTGGTAGCGCACACCTGTAGTTCCAGCTACTTGGAAGGCTGAGGCAGAAGGATCGCCAGAGCCCAGCAGGTCGAGGCTGCGGTGGCTGGGCACTTGCGTGCCACTGCATTCTAGCCTGGGCGACAGAGTGAGACTCCAACTCAAAAACCAGAACGAAACAAAACAAAAAAGTAAGCCTTTATTGTGTTAAGCCGTGAAGATTTGGGGGCATTCTTGCTACCACAGCCTTGCCTACCTGGCCTGACTGAGGCACAGGCTGCAGACTCAGGTGTGACCACTACACATTCTTGGAGTTTCACTCAAGAAGATTCCATGGGCTCACCCGGGAGCCTGCGCGAGCAGGTGCATGCGTGCACCCGCCCTGCAGACACGGCGTCCATCTGGGCCACCCCATTGCCCAGACAGACAGTCATCGGCCTTCCAATTGCTCGTCCTCACGAATTCCCCAGTTGGCTGCCCAGCCTGACTCCCTGAAGGGGAGATGGCTCAGAACTCAGAGCACAGACTCTGCAGCAGATGTAACATTTAAAGCAAGAATCCGGAGGCCCACGTGTTAGGATTTCAAGATCCCTGTTCCCACAGCAACGGTCCCTGGGCGCCTGTGTAGTTTTTCAGTTTTTTTTTTTTTTGAGTCCAAATCTCACTCTGTCGCCCAGGCTGGAGTGCAGTGGCACACTCATGGACACCCCAGCGTCGACCTGCTGGGCTCAGGTGATCCTTCTGCCTCAGCCTTCCAAGTAGCCAGAACTACAGGGGCACACTACCACACCCGGCTAGTTTTTTAAAATTTATTTTAGAGATGAGAGCTCGCCAAGTTGCCTGGGCTAGTCTCAAACCCGTGGACTCAGGCAATCCCCTCATCTCAGCCTCCCAAAGTGCTGGGATGACAGGCTTGAGCCACCGTGTCCAGCCTAGTTTTCAATATTTTTATGTGGGGTAGGCGGAGGGAAGATTGCATGCTGGCTGTGGCGTGTATGACTGTGGGGTGTGTGAGTGTGTGAGTGATTGTGACTGTGTGTATGGAGGGAGGCTTTAGCTCAGTTCTGTGTCTTCTCTCTGTGTGTCTGGGAAACCACTTCCTCATGTATAAAGTCACAAATGCCTTCTTTCCTTCTTTTTATAATTTCTGAGTTGGGGTCTCGTTCTGTTGCCCAGTTTGGAGTGCAGTGCCACCATCATGGCTCACAGCAGCCTCCACCTCCTGGGCTCATGCGATCCTCCTGCCTCTGCCTCTTGAGTAGCTGGGACTACAGGTGTGTGTGGTCACACCAGCTAATTTTTTTTTGTTTTTTTTGCAGAGCTGTGGTCTCACTATATTGCCCAGGCTAGTCTTGAACTCTTGAGTCAAACAGTCCTCCTGCCTTGGCCTCCCAAAGTGCTGGGATTACAGACATGAGCCATTGCACCCAGCAACAAACGTTTTCTAATAGACCAGAAAACCTTAGAGAACAGGGCCGATAGCTGGATCAGTCCCCATGTCACCCTGGGTGCCCACACAGTGTTTGTTGACTGGCTGAATGAAAACAAGTAAGGAGCCTCCAGTGTCAAGGCAGTGTGTTGAAATCAGATATACTCAAGGGCTTTGTTTTGGTGTCACAGGCATTCTCCCATCCCTTATCCCAAGAAGGAAGCTTGGTTTCTGTGTTCTCTGATTTCTGTGCTGCAGGAACAAAAGCAGAAGTGACCCTAAACCCTCTTTCCATCTGGGTCTTGTTTTGCAGAGGGCCTAATGCAGGCTCAGTGCTTCCGAGATATCATCACCACTCTCTTTTTTTTTTTTTTTTTTTAATAGAAATGAGGTCTCACTATATTCCCCAGGCTGATCTCAAACTCCTGGACTCAAGCGATCCTCCTGCCTCAGCCTCCCAAAGTTCTGGGATGACAGGCATGAGCCATTGCACGCGGCCAAGGAAACCCACTTCTCTTTAAATTGGTTCACTTTTTTGCTGCAATACACTTATTTGAAAAGGAACCCGCTGTGGTTTGAATGCACCCCCCCGCCCAAAGTTCATCTGTTGGAAACTTCATCCCCAGTCAACAGTGGAGAGGTGGGACCTTTAAGAGGCGTTTGGTTCACCAGGGCTCAGCCTTCATGAACGGAGTAATGCCATTATCATGGGAGCAGGTTAGTTATTGTGGAAGTGGGTTTGTTGTAAAAGCCAGATGGGCCGTCTCTTGCTCTCTCTCTCTTTCACCCTCCATTATGTTAAAATGCAGTAAGAAGGTCCTCGCCAAATGCAGCCCCTAGAGCTTGGGTTTCCCAGCCTCCGGGACCATGAGAGATACTTTTATTTTCATGATAAATTACTCAGCCTGTGGTATTTTGTTATAGGGACACAAAATGAACTAAGGCAGAAACTTTACCCTTCCCTGTGAATTTGCTTTACATCCTGGAGATGCCTGAGCATCAAAATGTTCACTGCAGATTTTTGAACAGCAAAAAATTGGAACCAGAGTGAAGGCCCATCCCTATGGGGGACTGCT